CATAAAAGTTTCCTAACTCATCACCCTATTTACAGTATAAATTCATTATAATATAAATGGGGCTAAAATGTCATCTAGAAGTAAAAGGGAAATAAAAAAGCCAAATCAATTCCATAGACAAACAATGCTGCCTACACTGCACCTATAAAATATCAATTCCAGCAAACAACAATGGCACAGTGACCCATAGAAACCATTCGAGTGTAAGCTTTCAAAAGAAACAAATCTGATTGGCTGTTACCAGCAGCCAATTATGAAAACTGGGGCAAACAATGGCACGGTGGCCTATAGAAACCAATCGAGTGTAAGCTTTCAAATGAAACAACCAATTTGATTGGTTGTTACAAGCAAACCTTCTATACCCTTTGTCTTTGCTTTTCACAAATAGCAATTTTCTTCTGGACCATCAGCATTAATACGACTGTTAATGGCACTGCATGTCTGTCTAGCCCATGCCGGTATGCCTGGACTTTGTGGTGTAGGTGGTCTTCACCCATAGAAAGCTCAGTTTAACCCTTTTAATGCTGATGATCCATACAAAGCAGCATGTCACTCCTGTGCACTTGTCTTATCATGCATCCTGTGCACCGCGATCACATCTATCCATCGCAATGCCCGGGTGCCTACAGATGATAGGCAATGCAGCAGATGTCTATGGCATGAATGGAGCAGATCTATGGTGCAGGGGATAAGCACGTTGCTGTATAAAGGGCGGCTTTGGGGGCTCTCACCTGCTGGGATGTGTATGGCTGGGCTCCGGTGGTTTAGGGTCCCATGACCGAGGCTGCTGTCACTCACCGTGTCCCAGAAGCTCCACTGCACCGGGGCGCGCTTCCAGGAGCGAGAACAACACAGGCGCGCCACCGAGACCCGCAGCCAATCGGAGCGAGAATCTTTCCGCCCCCGCCCACTTTCTCACCTTGGTGCCTTAGCAGCAGCGATGCATATGCTTGTCTACAAGGAGGATGCAGATCTGTATCCATTGGCACTGTGGGTATTATGTAACATGTATAGATTGATTGATTTATTTAGAGAGGAGTGATGGCACAGCAAAGCTTACACGTTAAAGTCTATCTAAACCCAACAATATGCTATATGACCATTATCAGTCCTTACTCAAGGCTCCATGTAAGGTTAGGGTTGCCACCTTTTCTTCAATCAAATCCCGAACACTCTAGCACAGTGTGGCAATTTTTATTTTGAGAATATACAGGAGAGCACGAGGAGAGAGAGCCAGGGGAGAGACAGATAGGAGAGACAGCCAGAAGAGAGAGAGGGGAGAGACAGCCAGGAGAGAGCGCGGAGTGATAGGAGAGAGAGCGAAGAGAGACAGCCAGGAGAGAGAGCCAGGAAACAGAGGAGAGAAAGTCAGGAAAGAGAGAGGAGAGACAGGAAAGAAAAAGAAGAGACAACCAGGAGAGAGAGAGAGGAGAGACAGCCAGGGGAGAGAGGAGAGACAGCCAGGGGAGACAGCCAGGGGAAGAGGGAGGAGTGATACTCAGGAGAGAGAGCGAAGAGAGACAGCTGACCAAACTGTTGCCGCTATATAAATCCTGTATAATAATAAAGCATAACCCCTGTGCCCTTCTAGACTCATCTGCACCCTGTGTTTCAGACACTTCCTTGCTCCCTGAGTTCCAGCATTCCTCGTCTCCCGTGCCTGCTCCATGCACTTAGGTTGGAACACCAGGACCCCATGGTTGCCCCTGTTCATCTGACATTGTGACATCTTGTGTCTGGGTTTCAGCTGGCCTGAACCCCGGACACAGCACATAACTCCCTACCACAACCTATCCGGCTATCTCCAACTCTGTCTGTCGGGGTGATCTCTGAACACTCGCCGCTTTAGGGAAACCTATTCCACCTCCTCTTAAAAACTGTACATCTACTCCTTAAATCAGCTCATCCCTCACAGTTATTACCTTCTGTATCACTAGCCCCTCCTTGTAGATTGTAAGCTCCCATGAGTAGGGTCTTTCTAATCTTGAATGGTATTGTACTTGTGCTGTCACCCCATATGTTGTAAAGCGCTGTGCAAACTGTTGCCGCTATATAAATCCTGTAAAACATTTTTTTGCATTGGAGCCTGCAAAGCATTGAAATTGCAGTGCATCCTGGGTGCAATACACAGGCTCCTGCAGACGATTCCTCCTGCCTGGATATGTACAGAGGGATGGGCTTCGGGCCCTTTTATATGCAAGGTCCGTCTGTCAGTTTTTAGATGCACCTGATCGGAAGTCCAATGTTAGTCTATGGCCAGGCAGATATAAACGAACCTGCCCCTGCCTACATCTGAATACCTCTGAGTCCGTCTAGGTCCTAAAAAAAAATTGAGAAGTGTTCTGTTTTTGCAGATCTAAAGGTGACAGATTGGAGTTAAAAGGATGTAAAGGGATACACGTCTTCTGCAGAAAATGTGAAAGCTGCACAGCCGCGCCAAGGCACCTCTCATAGTGCAGTCCTAACTAAACTATCAGAGTCTCCATCTTGGAGCACATGGGGGCAGAAGATAAAATTGGGTGCAGGTTTGTCAGGAGGAAGCCCAACCCCCCTTAAAGGCACAGAGACGCACAAGAGATCCCGCACATCCCAATGGCAGATGAGACCCCCCATGCATCAGTGCACCAAAACAGTCAAGCAAAACAGATGACAAACGCACTCATCAATTCGTCATCAGCTTTACACCAAGGTGCACACGGAATGGGCTTTAAACAGTAAAACAGCAAAAAGTTTTCCTGGCACACTCACAAGCTAGCATGTAAGAAAACTTGTCTCACACTAAGGTTGAAAACAGAGGTTTGGTATCCTTGCTCGGACGCAGACAGGATCCATCCTGTCTGCGTCCGAGTACGGACACCCGGACCCGCGCGGATTTGCAGTTCAGGAGTGCGTATGACAGCATATGGCCGCATTCTCCCATAGGGAAGAACAGGCTGCTACACGCAGTACCTGTCTCACCTAGGAACGGCCCAATACGGGGGTACATGTCGCACAGACGTGTAGGCCCTGAGTTAGCGCCGTGTGAATGAGGCTTTAGAAATGTTTACTAATGACAATCTACAAACAGATACTTCTAGATAATTGCCGGCTTTTTAGTTTTTGAATACCTTATTTTTCTTTTCTTCCCCAGTCTTCTCACAGTGGCCATTGTAACTAAGGGCAGGTTACTAGCTCTCCCTTTACTGCCTGCATTTCTGGCACATGTGACTAGGACATGTGACCATTCACATCATCTCAGGGGAGGAAAATCCCTTTCCCTGAGATCTCATGAGATTACAGATGAGATTTCCCAGCAATGTCGTGCTGATGTAACCTTCCCAGGATGCAATGCTTGGGCACATTACATCATTTGTGTGAAAGTGGACCAGCAAGTGAAAAAAAAGAAATTACAAGTAAAATAAAAAACGAATGAATTTCGTTTCATAGCAGCATACAGAGCTGCCTGCTGATGTGATTTTTTGCCAAACGGGGTAAAGGTCCGCTTTCCGCTCCGTGTTTTCCTCCATTGCAAGATGGAAGACTCTGACCAATCTTGGAGCCTACAAGAGCGCTCAGGTAAGTAAAAGTCTTTTAAACAGGTTTCCTAGATAGAATTAACCCTTGTAGTGCAGGAGCAGCCCCACTTCAAGGGGAGTTTGTGAATGGAGATGAGCTTTAACCTCATATAATTTAAATAGTTAATATAAAGTCCCACATAGTCCATCTGGTGTCTCTCTGTGCAACAAATCAGCACCTCTGCTGCACACAGATACACAGAAAAATGCTAAAGTAGAAGTGAGACCAGTCAGACTCTGTGACCTGCTCTGAAACATAGTGTAAGTATTTAAGGGGTCTAAATGCTGTTTTTACAATGGCAGCAGCACCGATTACATGTGGAAATAATGTAATGTTTTACTTTATACCCGTTTCTTTCATAAGAATAGCAATGAACAGGGCCATCCCTATAATGACCCAGCTTGAGGCAGTTGCCTCAGGCGGCAACTCACTGGGGGGTACGGCTGAGCCCTTGGCAACCAGTGACATCAGTAAGCTGGGCGGGACGCCTGACAGCCCCATACAAGTGTTCCCTATCAACACCCTTAAATGAATTACATCGCCTCAGATGGCGAATACCATAGGGATGGCCCAGGCAATTAAATAATAGGGACTCCGGCAATGGGAACCTCGACCTCAACCAGCTTATGACTTGTTTTTAAACAATGTTGAACTAAATGGCGTGAGGCCAGGGGGTTAAAACATGCCAGGAGAAACTGAAGGAACTTAAAGAATAAGTGCACTTTAAAAAGAAAAGTTAATTTATCCTTTTTTTCCTTCCCCCCCAATCTGAACGATCCCACCCTCCCCCTCCGGAGATCCGTACTTACTAAGACCCAATGGGCATGGTTCTGCTATTGTTTACATCTAGTGCAGTGGTTCTCAACCTGTCTAACCTCAAGACCCACATTTGTCGTCGGTCATTAAGTCGCGACCCACGTTGCACTGCAATGGAACACACGGCAGTGTGGGCTGCTGTGCTGTAATGGAGCTCCATCCATACGTGCATTGCTTGTACAGTTCCCATGCGCACCCTGTAGCGGTGCTGGGAGCCAGAATGTGATGTCACTCCAGTCCAGGCACCGCTACAGGACATGCAAGGGAGCTATTAGCAATGCATGTATGGATGGAGCTCCCTGGCAGCCATACCACCATTGCACCCCACCTCAAGCTGACACTCAGTGCCAGGCAGCATATTCTGAATGGCTGCTCAGTGCGAGAACTGATATTGCTGCACTAGGAGGCTGAGAAGCCTCTCGCCAAGAAAAGTGGAAGGCATGCAGCGACCCACTGAACACGGGGTCGCGACCCACTTTTGGGTCACGACCCACCAGTTGAGAACCAAGGATCTAGTGCAACTATGCTCCCTCTGCTGGCCGCACCTACACATTACAGCCCCTTAAACTATGGGGTCTTCTTCCAGCAGGGAGATGAACGTGTGGAGAAGAGGGATACTTGGAGTACTGGATGTCAACAAACAGCGGAACAGTGGTCCTCTAATCTCGATAAGTGCAGATCTGCGGGGGGCAAGGGTGGGATAGTTTAGGTCAAGGGAGGGGGCAAAAAAAAAATTGCACTTTGTCTACATGAGCACATATTCTTTAAAATATACAGCCCTGAGGAAAGAAGGGAAAGGGGGGACATGACTGAAGCCTTTAAATACAGTAAAGATGTGACTAAGGCTCAGATAGGCTTGATTTATAATACAACGCTGAAAACAAGATCATGGGGGCATGAAAGTTAAAAACTGACTTTAAATGGGCTGATCAGGAGGGGATCTGTGCATGGATCTCCTCCTGATTGGAGTGGTACAGATCAGATGTCACAGCTGTGACATCCGTGTCCTTCCATTCTTTCTTGCGATGGAGGAAAAAACTGATATGAGCGGACCCTATTTCGGTCTATGGGTAATCACGGACATGTGTCCGTTTACATCAGATTTTCCCCTGATCCGATACAATTGGTTCCGTCGAAACTGAACACTGTCGCGTTATTTTTTGCAGACCTGTGCAGAGTGGCGGGTAACCGGGTGTACACTGACGCCCGTCCATTTTCACACGGCTGCCCATAGACTAGCATTGGGCATTCGATCGGGTCCGCCTGAAAAACCGACAGACGGACCTATCACAACACCCATGTGAAAGGGCCCTTAAAGATACTTGGAACAGGTTCCCAGCATAGGTAGTCAGTCCATTAACAGTAAGTGAATTTAAACATGCATGGGATAAACATAGGTCTATGCTCAGACAAAAAGTTGTAAAAAAACGAAATCCTCTTGTTTCTATGTATAAATATATGGTGGTCTGAAATGCATGATACAGGGGGGGAGGGGGGGGGGGCT